AAGTACTCGCATCATGTAGTACTGGCTCTGTTTACAGTGATTTTAAAAAAGAAAAGAAAAAAGAAAAAAGCCTAGCCATATCACTTCGACCTGTGTGCTTCCTTCTAAAATGCTGTATAATGACCAGTATAAGCTGTTGACTGCTAAAGATTAGGGTACTTTTTAATTACCACCCGCCACCCACCCCCAGAAGTTTTGAAGCTTGAACCTGCTCTTACCACTGTTGGGTTGTTTTAGTCTTTTTTTTTTCTCCTCTGGAGATACTGGTTTGCTAACAAATACTTGCAGTGGGGATGGTGGGGAGCTGTGGTGCGAACAGCAGTCCCTTCGGACGTGGCTCTGCTGCCGTTTTCTGCAGCCGCTCATCCGACTTTGAGATCTGCAGCTACTGAAATTGCTGCCTGTGCTCAGGGATTGGATCTCCGCACCCTGAAATCTTGTGCAGAAGTATCTTGTCCATTAGGTAGAAAGATAAATTGGCTTCTGGCAGTAACTGTGATCTTGCAGGGCAGCAGGAATTTTTTTTGAGATAAAATCTGTCTTTTCAGGTCTTCCAGTTCTGTGTGGTGCACATGGCTCCATTGAATGTTGTTTCTTGCGAGGTTATTGATAGTGCAATACCAAAAGACCCCTCATTTTAAAATACATGTTGTTACCTTTTGCAAATATTTGGTGACCAATGCGGAATAAAGTGTTTTGTCCACTGAATTGTATCTAAAGGAGGATTTTTAAATTTCTCATTCTTCTGGACACTGATTAAAGTCACAAGGGCATTGCAGGGCTTTTCCACCTTGGGTTTGGTGCCTTTTTTTTTTTTTTTTTTGCTTAATCCTAAAAAAAAATAAATAAAAACACATAATTCATAAACCTTGACATTGATCTTCTTGGATCTAAATCTTACTAACAATTTTCACTGTATTCAAGTAGCTGCTGTTAAGTCAGAATGTGTCTTGCTGCACGAGTATTTTTGGGTCAGATATGGGGGAGTGGAGAAGGCGGATGCCTCCAGTTAGATGTTCTATAAACTCAAAGTTTTTGTGATCCTTTTATTCTTTATAAAGACAATTTCAAGCAAGCTTGCCAAGCAGGAGTGTTTTTTTTTCTTTTTTTTTTTTTTAACCTGTCTTGAAACATTTAAGTAGATATCATAGGTAGGGTTATTTTTCAAAACGCCTGTTTTGGTTTCCTTTTCTGTAGTGCTTTCAAAATTTTAGGGTTTATTCCATAGAAGTATGGTAAACATTTGGGTTACAGAATTCTCTGGGAGTCCTGAAAATGGATTATTTCTGTTTAATAGGACAGCTGGACTCAAGCAGGACTGCTGTGGTTGTGCTGCTTACTGATATCACAGATGTGTAACTAGCTTTGAGGAATAGTTGTGTTTGCAAAACTTGTTTATGGGTGTCCTCTGGTGAAGAATTGTGTTTTTGTGCCTGAATTATGTGAATTACTACCTAATGAGAGTTGCTGTGAGAGCTCCTGTGGAAGCTTGGGAAGAAATTGAGACATACTGAATGGTCATTACAGCTGCAGGAAGGGTCAACACAGGAGAATTTCAGTTTCTTCTTGTGGTTATTTTGCCTGTTAATAAATAACCAAGACAAATAATAGCAAGTAAGCTGTAGAGTGTAATGCAGCACAATCCTGAGCGAGTGTGAGGTGATAGCTCTATTGTATTTTGTCACTTAGGTGTTTCTTTTCTCTCAATTATCTTTCTGTACAATTGTGAACTGCTTAAAAACATTTTGCGTATTATGTATGGAGAAGAAATTAAATATTTTGCTTTAGTAAAAAACAAAACTTCCTGTTCCTTCTTTAGGCTCTCCATTTCTAATCTTGCTGTGTTTTGCTGGACACTTTGGTCTTACTGAAGATGTGAATTGACCTCTCAAGGTTTCATTTTGCTTGTCGATATACCCAGCTGCATAGGTTGGATCTGTAGCTCGGCGAGCTTGTGTCCTCTTCAAGGGGGTCCTCTTCAAGCAAGTCACATAGGTACCTGCTGTCTGACCGTGCGGAACGTATAGCATGTTGTCAGATGCCCTCCGGTGCCTGGCAGGTTTTGGGCATGCCGTGCTTTTTCCGGGCTATTTTTCTGTGGTGCCAAGGGAGCTGGAGCAGCTGTGCTCTCTGCAGAGGATCCGAAGGCTTCTTGGCTCTGATGGGAGCTGATATTTTCCGGCAGTGCCTGGTCCCAGCCTCCAGGCTGCGTCTTTCCCAGCGAATGTTTGACCTTGGTGCGTGTTCTCCTTGTGCCTCTGAATCACGAGGTGCTTCAGCAAATGGTCTCGGCCGGGTGGAAGGCTCCAGTGTGCGCTGATGCTTCTGGTTTGTGGAAGGAGCTTACAAGGGCTCGGCCAGCCTCAGTGCCCTGGTTTTAGGCCTTAGTTCCCATACCTGCTTGTCTGTTTTCAGCCATTAGCATTTGAGAGCCTCTGAGTTTTCACACATCTCGTGTCAACAAGTAGCACTGAGGGATCCCTAGTCTTACAAGCACGCAGCCGAGCACCTCCCGCTGCGTGTCCGGTTGTTCCCGAGGCTGTCGTACAGCGAGTGTCGTCTCTACACGGCGGGCGCCACGCTCCGGACCAAGGAAGCTGCCAGGAGTGGTTATGGCCTGCTGTATAAACAAAGATGTGTACCCAAAATTAGATTCACCTGGCAATAGCCCATCTTTTCCTTGTCTAGACAAAATTAACGGATAATTGGAGTGGCTTCAGAAGCGTATGGTGTAAGTGGGAGCTCCAAGGCGAGAGCTTCTTGGGCTTTTTCCAGAAGTGAGACTTCCTTGGCTGCCCTTTCTCGTCTTACACACAAGCCGAGATATTGCAGCCTTCCTGCTCCAAGACTGCCTCCAGAATCCTGTCTCAGTTTTGTCAGGGACCTCGTCTACTTTCTCTTCTCTGCTGTTGCTTCTTGCTGCAGGAAAGCAGGACTGATAATTGTGGTTTTATGTGCCTATGGTCTACCAGAAAGGAAGATTATTTTTCAGCCACTGGAAGTATTAGGGATGCCTTTCTGTGTGGAGAAAGCCACAACTTTCCTGCTTTACTGCAGAACTCAGTAGGATGAATTTAAAGCAGGAAAGAACTGAGGATGTCCTCCATGTTTTGTCCGTTGTGTTCCCCACTGTATATGGCACATGATGCAGTAAATAGGCAGCATGATCCACTAGGCACTGCCGTGAGAGCAGCGTCTCTGCTTGCAGGGGAGCAAGGTCTCTAACTTCCCATTGCGGTAACTCTCACGTGCACTGCCCTGAATGCTCATTCTGTACTAGAATAATGTAGAAACCATACAAAGCTTTGAGAAATCTAAATACACATCTTCCTCCTGTTAGTAGCCTAGCCCTTTGGTTATTTTTCTTCTTACTCTGAATAGTTCATGTTCTTAGGTTACTTTTCTTAGTTGGAAATTCCAGGCAGGAAGGCAAGTGCTGAAAACTGGGCTCCTCAGTGCTGTGATGCTGTGAAATCCTAAAGAGACAGCCTTGGGCCGTTCTCTTAAGCAGATGCGGAAAGGTTGGAAGTTCTTTTTACTGTTATCAATTTTCTCTCTTTCTTAGGAATTTCTGATGGTTTTCTAGGTATATTTCTTTAGTTCTAACCTTTCTCCTTTTAGTTTATCAAGTGAGACCTTTGAACTTGCCTACATGAAGGCATCACCGTTTTCAATTTATGTCCATCTTGAACTATTTTCAGTCCTAATGAGCAAGGGGGCATGTGATTTTTAAGGGGGTGTCAATATGTGTTTTTTACCGATACAGTCATAAAAATAAAAGGATGACCTTAAATAAGTGCCATATAATGAGCTCATGTTGCTGTGGTTGATATCTTACTATCAGAGTAGCGCCCTGTTTTTTGTGCTGTCAATGACATTGACCATGATCAAATAGAGAAAATGAGCAGGTAGTAGTAGTGTTTGGAGACTGTAGCAGGAGTGTTGCTCATGCCCTGCTCTGAGCTACCTTTTGCTGTTCAGCTGAGTCCTGCCCTGCAGAAAATAAAACTTTTGGTTTATAGTCTGTTCAGCTGCATGTTCAGAGATGGACAGGATTCAAGAATTTCTTTAAAGAAGAGGTAGATGATTCCGCTGTTGGACATAACCTCCCTTCCAACCACAACTGCTCTGAGATTCTGTAATAACCACGTTCCGAGCCTGTTAGGGTTTCAGACCTTGTCCTGCTGGTCAGTCCTACCTTAGAATCCAAATGCAGCTGTTCAACAACAAAAATTATTGGGGAATTACAAAAAATAGGCTACTATGTTAAGGATATCCAGGAAAAACTGAAAGGAAAAGCTGCATATAGCAGCTATGAATATGTTTTTTTAATACTCATTTCTGAGCTGTTGTAGGAAAACTGGTGGATAATTAAATAAATTAATGAAAGCTAGGATAATGAGGTTCGAGAAGTTTCAGAAGTTTAGAAAGAGAGCTGAAGCACAGGATTGTGTGACCTGAAGTGAATCCCAGGAGGCAGGGGAGGTTTTCTCTGGCTAAGTGTCTAATTAAAATGGAGTAGGGAGCAGTGAGGCTTGTGGGTTCATGCATAGTCAGTGAAGACTATGGTGGTGGCTTCTCAGAAGGGTGTTGAGGATCCTAAAGTTAGATTTCTCAAGTCAGAGCTAATATTTCTTTGGGATCTGCTTATTTGTCCAATGTGTGATAATAGCAGAGAAATCACGTGGTTGTTTTTTCTTTTTCTTTTTAAATTTTATTTATTTTTTTATTCGTGTGTGTGTGTGTGTGTGTGTGATTAATGCTCAAGCCAGTGTACTTCATTTTTTATTCCTAATGGTGTCAGGAGTTACTCTGCCTAATTGCTGTTTTTACCTTTGCTTTCTGTTGGTGTCTGGCCTCGTAGAAAGCTTGGCTTAGTCAGAAGTTTTCATGGAGACTTGCACTGCCTGGGATTAACAAGATAAATTCAGAGGAGCTTTTCACTGAGTATTTGCTTGCTTGATTTGATGAGCTAATTTTTAGAGCTATTGATTAGAACCATGATAGATCCTGGAGAGAGTGTAACATCCAAGAGTGGTGTGTTAATAGATGCAGGAGACCACAGTGAACCTAACAGGAAATGCAAGTTAGACCAAAGCTGCGTGTACTTCTAACATGCACTTCTGCAAATGTTTGCGTGTCAGTGACCCTTTTTGTTTGTTTGCAGGTCCTTGATTACTGGACTGTTGAGGTCAGTAGTAGCTTTGTCAGCGCAGGAATGGGGAATCTGCCTGAGGGGAAAAGGTAAGTCCAGTTTTATTCACTATTGAGTTCAACAGCTAAGCCTTTTGCCTCATAGACTCCCTGCTCCTGCATTAATCATAGGTGCTGCTGACCTCACCAGTCCAGTTGCCTTTGGAACAGCTTGGCATGAACGGAAAGTCAGAGACGTCTGGACAACAACTTCAACACCTAGAAGAAAGGGGTGGAAAGGGCTCTGTTGTAAACCTTATGATGCTTTAGCCCAGGAACTCAATCAGTGTGCTAATATTTTGAGCGAAATACAGGGATCTGGTTTTGTACTGTGTTTTGTTTTGGGGTAGGAGGAGAAATTAGGTCCAGAAGGTAGATCCTTTTATTACAATTTTAATGACTGACTGGAGAGTTGCTGGGAAAAATCACTGATGCGCACAGCAGAAATCTGGGCACCGGAGATCTCGTGTTCTATGGAGCGTTACACAAATAACTTCAGTTTTTCTTTAGCCTCTGTGTTTTACTGAGTGAGACCATACCCTAAACTATTTGAAAACTTGGATGAAAAGGTGCTATTTATCTTTAAAGCTTAACTTTGGGGGAGAGCACAGTGGTTGTCTGCACCTGGGGTGCCTTTGTGGTTACCTTTGTGCATCTTTGTGTTCCTTGGCTTAGGAAGCTGCAAGGCTTCCCTCTTCTCTCTCCAGTTTTACCAAGGAGGATAAATAAGAATATCACATTCAACACTGTGTGTGCTTCTGGAAAAGCCTTAGTTCTAAGGCATAACTTTTTAGTTCAAGCTTGTTTTTGATTTACTTTGTTTTGTGCCTGCTGATGGTGACTTGTAAAGCAAGGAAGGAAGCTGCTTGTGCCTTGGCTCTTAATTCTGCCACCTCTTTTTGAATCTTCATCCCCTGGAGTGCAAAACTGTCTGTTGTATCAGTCTGCAAGGCTTCTCCCTGATTCACAGTTAATTGCTTTGCTTGACACCCAAGAGCTATGTGGATGATTAATCATTATCCCCTTGGATGTGGAGTGCTCCCTTGTACAGAAGAAATAGTGCTCTGAGCTTATATACACAGCAGTGCAGAGAAGAGCTTTTTTTTTCCCCTACGTAGCCCAAGACCAGCATCTCACTCTGAGACCAGCTGTGTTGCCTGTTTGTAACATTTATATTTAGCCTCTTTAGAGGTTAGCTCTGTATAGTACTCCCAGTAATTGTTAAAATTCTTAAGGCTTCTGTGTATGTTTCCTGTCAGATTGCTGGCTTTTCTTGCCTAGAATCTGAAACACCTTTTGGATGGTTTATGGACGTACACTCCCTTACATCTTTCAACTATGAGTATGGACATGTGAATGGGGCTGACACGGGTTAGATGAGCTGCTGAGGTGCCGGCCCGCGGGTGCTCGGCAGATGATTCAGGTCTGTTCTTGAGCTGCTGAACTTAGAGTATGGACATGTGAATGGGGCTGACATGGGTTAGATGAGCTGCTGAGGTGCCAGCCCCCGGGTGCTAGGCAGATGATTCAGGTCTCTTCTTGAGCTGCTGAACTTGTCTGGGTCTTTACTCCGATTTCTGCTTTTCTTTCTAGAGGCTGGTTTCCAGCTAGCTGAAGTGACACTGACATGGTCATCATGGTGAGAACCTTTTATGGACTGCTTTGTTTTAGTCAAACTCTTCAGGCGTTGGGGTGATCTCCATCCAGCTGGCAGGGCTTATCACAGAATTCCAGAATGGTTGGGATTGGAGGGGACCTCTAGAGATCATCCAGTCCAATCCCCCTGCTCCAGCAGGGACACCCAGAGCACGTGGCACAGGGTGGCATCCAGGCAGGTTTGGAAGATCTCCAGAGGAGGAGACTCCACAACCTCTCTGGGCAGCCTGTTCCAGGGCTCTGGCACCCTCACAGGAAAGAAGTTTCCTTATCCTGAAGTTTCCTGTAGAGAGGAGTTTCTTGGTGAGGTGTGGAGAAACAGTGCTTGTTACATAGATCCGAAGGAGGGAGAACTGGCAGCAGGAGTATCACAGCAGGAAAATTTCTACCCCCGC